AGAGGCTGGCCTCAAACTTGAGGTGATCCACTGCCTTGGCCTTCCAAGCGCTGGGATTATAGTCATACACCACCATACCCAGCTTTTTTTTATTTTTAATTTTGAAACAGTGTCTTCCTAAGTTGCCTGGCTGTGCTCAAACTAGCAATCCTCCTGCCTCAGCCTTCCAAGTGACTGAGATTACAGGCGTGTCTTGCATACCAACTCAGTTTCTTAAGGTAGAAACTTAGGTTATTGATTTGAAACTTATTTTTTCCAATACAAACATGTAATGCTGTGAATTTACCTCTAGTAACTTTGACTGCGCCACACAAATTTTGGTAGGTTGTATTTTCTTTTATGTTCAATTTAATATATTTTCTAATTTCCCTGAAGTGTCTGTGATGGATAAATTGAATAGAAGTGTGTTGTTTACTTTCCATGGTTGGTGGACTTCCCAGTTACTTCTCTGTACTTTGTAGTTTAATTCTGTTGTGGTCAGAGGACATACTTTATAGGATTTTAGTTATGTTGCGGTTTGTTTTATGGGTCAAAATATGGCCTGTCTTATATATCTGAAAGGAACATATATTCTGCTACTGTTTCTGTGGATTGTTCCATAAATATCAATTAGGTTAAAATGATTGATACTGTTGTTCAGGCTATGTCCTGGCTGGTTTTCTGTATACTTGTTCTGTTGAGTATTGAGGGGGAAGTTTTGAAATCTCCAACTATAATTGTGGATTTGTCTGGCTGTGATTTCTTTGTAAAGGAATTGGCATTTTATTTCCATTGGCATCTAGTTCAGACAACTAAGACTGTGGTTCTCAACTAGGGCTATAATGTTCTTTACAACATGTTTGAGAAATGGGTGGTACTAGTTTTGCTTGTTACAGTTACTGTAGTATTTTTATGGCTGGTTGGTAGGTTGGTTCTAGGGATGCTAAATTTACTGACCTGTTCAGGATAATCTTTAACCCAGTGAAGAAATGTTCTGCCCAAAATGCCAGTAATATCCCTATTGAGAAACACTATGGTTAAACTTATGTGAGTTCTCTAAAGTTTTAAGATGCTATAAATTACAGGTGGTAGTACTGTAGTAACATTCCTAGCGTACTTTTTCATGTCACTGAAGTGGAATAGGTATTTCAGCAGTGTTATTATTGTCTGTAATCACTTTAAGACATTTGCCTAATATCTGATTTCATTATTATTAGCTCGCATGTAAGAAATGTACATACTGACCATGTCTAATAAACTTAATAGGTGAAGCAGCTGAGGAATCGGGCAGATGAAGATGCCCGAATAATTCACATGAGTGTGCAGATGGGTAATGAACCCCCCATCTCACTGAGGAGGGATCTGGAGCACTTAATGCTCTTGGTAAGCCTTTTATTTTTGCCCTCTTTTCTTTTTTTGTTTTTTGTTTTTTGGGGTTTTTTTGGTACCGGGGATTGAACTCAGGACCTTGTGCTTGCCAGCCAGGTGCTATGCTGTTGAGCTAATTCTCTGGTTGGTAAGCCTTTATGTTGCACAATTTGTCATCCCTTCTGCCTTCCATTATCTTTTCTTTAGCTTTGGAAAACTTCAGCTCTAATACTTTAACTCTATGATGAAATTCAATATGAAGGTACATTTTGTTTTTTGGTTTTTTGGGGGTTTTTTTGGGTACCGGGGATCGAACTCGGGTCCTTGCTCTTGCGCAGCAGGCAGCAAAACCACTGAGCTAAATCCCCAGGCCCTGAAGGTACATTTTTAAGGTGATGCTTTAGCTATAAGCATGCGCCCATAGTCTGTGTCCACTTTCTGCAGATGGGTGAACTATACAAGAAAAACCCTTTCCAACTGGAGCTCGCCCTAGAGTATTGGTGCCCCTCAGAGCCTCTGCAGACTCCTACTGTGATGGGGTCATACTTGGGGGTGGCTCATCAGCGACCCCCTCAGCGCCAGGTGAGTCCTTAGCCCTTCTGTTTTCATATTCTGTTATGGTAATTGGGAGTTTTGAAAACATACAAGGTATTACTTCCTAGTGTTATTGCTGTTATCACAAATGCCCGCTGATGTAACCTTTAAAAATTTACACTTCTCCCCGTATTTAGGAAGAATTGAAACCACTAAATTTAAATTCTGATCATTTTGGATTTTTTTGTGTTCAGCACTTTTATTAATACTAGTTATATATCAAATTGTTAGAAGCACAAAGGCTTCTAATCTGTTTGTCAATTAGTAGCGTTTTTTTGGTATTTTAGTCTGACCTCTATAGGTCTGATAAGAACCAATGCTGGTAATTCCTAATATTGGGAAGACAGAGATCTAAGTATTAAAAGGCTTAAAAGTTTTAATTGATGACTACATGGATATTAGCCTGTGGCTAGTATAGGGAAGGTCTGCTTTCCATTCTGCATTATCTAATTACAATGTACAGAAGCAAATACAATGGATTGCCTGTCTTGTCTTGGGTGATGTTTGTTTAGAAGTTTTCATGCTGCATGTTTTTTTTTTTTCTAGGGTCTAGGATCAGATGACCTTCCCCCATATTGTATTTATTAGATTTATTGTTTCAATTTTTTTCTCATTTAAAAAAATGTTCCAGAGAGGTTATATGAAAACTTTTTACTGATTAAAATTATTTTTCTATAGCTGGGCATGGTGACACATACCAGTAATTCCAGCACTGTGGGAGGCTGAGGTAGGAAGATGGTACTTTTGAGCCCAGTCAGGGCAATTTTAGCAACTTTGCCAGACTGTCTCAAAATAAAAAGTAAAAAGTCAATGCAAAGACCCTGGATTCAATCCCTAGTACCCCGCTTCTGCAATTTCTATTATAAAAATTTTGGAACATATGGAAGATAGAATAATTATAATGAATACTCAACATCTTAATTTCACATCTTCAGGTAGCATGTTGACATATTTGCTTCATCTGCTACTATT